CACCACATTCGGGAAAAAATTTGCATTCCTAATTTTATGAGGGAAAAATCACATGAGGAAAAAATGCATAGATTGAACAGATTATATGCTTTTTTTTCATCTTCGTTGTTGCAAAAACATGGGTCATAAGAAGAAAATAGTTTTATGACCCATCCTCAAGCATGGATAGATCTTAGAAAGAGCTAATTGCACGTGCGTTGCAACGGGATATACGTATTCTAGTGGTTGAACACCAATAGAACCATGCCATGATTTTCAAATCTTTTCTACTGCCTCTGTTACTAAATATAAGACACGTTTGCAGTTCAACTTGAACTGAAAAGGTTTTATATTTAGTTGCAGGCGTAGTGTTTAGTAGTCTAAGATTTTCGGTGATGATAATTAGTTCGGTCGTTGTGGTCTAACTCCATTATAGATTTCTGGCTACATTCTCCATAGGTCCCTCTTCGATCTTCTTTCTGCAACTACTAGCGGTTTCATTATATATGGGGCAACTCATGATCTTCGTATTGATCTATTGTCCACGTTTGTATCTATTATTTCTTAGCTAAACAGGTGGAACATCCATCCAAATTGGTTATACCATGGAATCACGGCCAAACTATAGCTGACACCCACCTTATTCTAGTGGATCTTTTCTGCATCAAGGTTCTGCAGTTAATCTTCAAGTTACTCATAGCTAACAGTAATACCAAGAGAAAAACCGAAGTTGTTTGTAAAAAAGGCAAACTAAACTTTTTTAGTTAGAACTTAGTGACACACCCTAGCGTTTATTGGCAGTATTTATCAAAGCATATCATTTTTACTTATAATTTGGACATCATACCGACATGTCAGAACATGGATCTAAGACTTCTAGGTGAGTAATATGACATTTTAGAGCTTAGAATTAAGATAAGCGGCTTCAAGTTTACTCAGTGTAGGAGGGGTGTATGGGCTGGGCAACAATGACATACACAGCTGATGAAAAATCATTGATTGGGCTAAAATGCAATGTAATATCATATTATAATCAATGAGGATTCAAGCAAAAAAATTTGATATGGTTGTCATCAACAAATTGGTCTGTACCTTGTCGCAAGGAAGACACTCGAGGAAACTGGAATACTTAGTGGGATTTCCATGCCATCCATCACGGGAGCATCAGACAATCGAGGATGGAAGAGAGAGAGAGAAAAATCATGTAGTGATGGTTGCTAGCCCGCAATCGGAGGAATCAAAGCAACAAGGAAAGAGATGATAGGGGCATGAGCATGGGGGAAAGGGATACACCACAGTTCACCCTGCCAACGCTCGCCTTTCAATCACCAGCACGGCTAGCCAAGGGAAAGAAGATAGAGGAACCCCAAGTTAATGCATGGAGGAGAGGGGCATCACCTCGCTGGGCGTACCACTGGTGGACAAAAGAATCTCGATGGAAAAAGAGAGGGGAAGGGGTGTCACCTTGGCGCTTGCCATTGTTGAGACATGCCCAACGGATAGGGGTGGAGAGGCATCACACCAGTGGGATAGGGGGTTGCATGGAAGGGTGAGGGTATGGGTAGGTGAAGGCAGGGTAAGTTTTTACTCCCTCCATTTCTAAATATAAGTCTTTTTAGAGATTTCAATGTGAACTACATACGTAGCAAAATGAGTGAATCTACACTCTAAAATAGGTCTAGATACATCCACATGTAGTCTGTATTAAATTCTCTAAAAATACTTATATTTAGAAAAGGAGAAAGTATTTAGTTGAGGTTTTGATAAAGATTTGATTTGATTTGTTGAGTTAATGCAGGAGGTGCGACGTACACGAGAAAAATCAAACGAATTAGGGACAAAGGATGAAGGCCAACGTTCAAAAACCAACTCCACTATAACAGTAACTTTAAAAAAGAGATTGTAAGACCGGATCATGATGCTGGGATGAAGCCATAACCAAGAGACAGAACCATTTCCCATGATCGAATGCTCGACCTCTTACTGACCGAATCTAACCCAGACTTCTTGGTTGGTATTTAACCCGGTCGGCTGAAAACCGAAATGCTTATCGAGCTCTAAAATATAAACCTATATTGCCTTTTTAACGGCCAAACTTTCTAGTGTTCGGTTAATTTCGCTGAAAAATATCGTCTGTGTTCTTAATGTCAAACAGATAAAATAGGAAAAATATATACTTTTACAACGGATCTAATGATATTCAATTGATGTCATAAATGCTGGCATTCTTTCCGTAGAATTAGACAAACAAACGTGGTGATTTCTGATTTTTTTTAGGAAGATTTTGACAAGGGGGCTGCTAATCCTAATCCTAATCAAGAGTTCCCGTCGCTGCGTTCAGGCAGCCGCCGGCGACCAGTGACTGCTTCCGCAGTCCATCGCCCAAAAGGAAGCTGAGACCAGCGTCCAGCCGCCAGCGCGCCCACCCTACCCGAGCTCACCCCCATCGGCAGCCGCCGCCGCCGCGTTACTGCGCGCAGTGGACGAGCGCCATTATTTGATCCTCTGATTCTTTCCCCACGTTGGGCGATACTTCCTATGCGCCACCGCCGCCCGCGGATCACACAGCGGCAGCAGTAGCGCGAGGGAGGTACTGAGAGGCCGAAAGATTCGGATCGATGGAGATCCGCGCCCGCGCGCCCGGAAAGATCATCCTCGCCGGCGAGCACGCCGTCGTCCACGGCTCCTCCGCCGTCGCCGCCGCCATCGACCTCTACACGCAGTCCTCCCTCCACCTGCCCCCCTCAGGTCCCCTCCCCGGACCTAACAACTGAATCCCACTCTCGATTCCTTCCTGATCGTCACTGACGCTCTTACTTTCGCCGTTTGCTTCGTCTTTCGCAGGGGATGGCGGCGCCGGCGAGGTGGAGGTCGACCTGACAGACACGGGCCTCGCCTTCTCGTGGCCATGCTCGCGCCTCCTCGAGGCGCTGGGGGAGACCTGCCGCAAGGCGGAGCTGCAGGCCCCGAGGCCCTGCTCCCCGGAGGAGCTGGCCGCCATTGCCAAGCTCGTGGAGCTGCACGAGATACCCGAGGCCAAGATCTGGCTCTCCGCCGGCCTCTCCGCGTTCCTATACCTCTACACCTCCATCCTGGGGTCGGTTGGCTGGCAACTCCCCCCAAATCAAATCTTGTGGTAATGCTGAACCTTCCTGACACTAAACTTGATGCAACTTCTTGTGCAGGTGTAGGCCTGGGAAGGTCGTGGTGAGCTCTGGCCTGCCCATGGGCGCGGGGCTTGGTTCGTCGGCTGCGTTCTCCGTGTCGTTGTCGGGCGCGCTGCTGACGGCAGCAGGCGTGGTTCATCCTGAAAGCGCCGTTGGCGGAACAGAGTGGCAATTGTTGGGGAAGGATCATCTTGAGCTGGTTAACACGTGGGCGTTCCAGGGGGAAAAGATCATTCATGGCAAGCCTTCTGGCATTGACAACGCTGTCAGCACTTTTGGTATGTTGTTACTCTTGATTGGTCAAAATATTTCAATTCGCGCCAAAATGCGTTACAACTACTACAATATTTCCTGTGGAGAAATCAGTATTGTGGTTATATGTGGTTGTTTCATGAACCTGAATATGAGTATTCTGTAAGTACGTTAAAAGTTTAAATCGGTAAAGTGTGTCCCATCTATTGCCAACTAAATGTCAAGCCTTCTGGCATTGACAACGCTGTCAGCACTTTCGGTATGTTGTTCCTCTTGATTGGTTAGAATCTTTCAATTCGCGCCAAAATCCGTTGTGACTTGATTTTTTCCTGTAGTGGAGAAATCAGTATTGAGGTTATATGTGGTTGTTTCATGAACCTATTCCTCAGTGCCGCTGCCTTTGAACATTAAAAGGTTAAATCGGTAACTGCCTGTTATTGCCAACTAAAGTGTGCCTCATCTTGTACTTTTAACTTGAATATGAGTATTCTGTAAGTAAAGGAGTTCAGTCATGAAAATCTCACCCGTGTCATTTCATACTAGAAAGATCTTGTATTTTTAACTTAAATTGGAGTATCTATCACTTTACATGTCATTGGGATTTAAATACTTCTGTTACGTGACTATTAGGAAGCATGATCAAATTCAAGAAGGGAGAATTGACGAACCTCAAATCCGGCAATCCAGTCAAAATGCTCATTACTGATACAAGGGTTGGTAGGAACACCAAGGCTCTGGTTGCTGGTGTGTCTGAAAGAGCATCTAGGCACCCCGATGCTATGGCTTCCGTCTTCCATGCAGTGAACACCATTAGTGAAGAGCTTTCCAGCATTGTCGAGTTAGCTGCTACTGATGAGATAGCCATGACCTCAAAGGAAGAAAAGCTGGCAGAACTCATGGAGATGAACCAAGGGTTGCTCCAGTGCATGGGAGTCAGCCATTCTTCTATAGAAACCGTGCTGCGCTCGACATTGAAGTATAACTTGGTCTCGAAGCTCACCGGAGCTGGTGGTGGAGGCTGTGTTTTGACGTTGATACCAACTCGTATCCTTTTATATCTTATTACTTGTGTAGCTTTTATATCGCTTAAAAATACCATAGATCCAGCACATCATTTCCTTTCAGTTGATTTCTTCATGACATTTTAACTGAATGTTTCCAGAAATCAAAGTGTGTACAAATGCAGTCTTTGGCATTCTGTTAGTGAAGAATGTCAATATTAGAGTGATTTGCCAGTAAAAGCTAGATCCCTGTCACTTGACATTTTTACATGTGAAGATTTTCTGAATTGTTATTTAGTAATTCTGTCAAAACTTATTAATGTAGCAAGGAGGAACTGGAAATTGCTTAATGTTTACTGATGGTTTGTACTTGTCAAGATCCTTTAATTTCTCTGTGGTACAACTGTGCCCACTTAATGAATAGGTCTGTTAGATGCATGCAAACCAAGACTTTCAGAGTTCTTGTATGCTGGTTTAATCTGGAATGCTTAATATATGTTTGGTACTCTTTTTAGTTTCAACAAACATTTTGATATATAATCCGTTTGTCTATATCTACCGACTTAGCAGCGATGCTTCCTTGACATCATAAATTTCAGTGTTGTCCAAGTTAGTTTTGGAGAAGGTCACCACGGAGCTAGAATCGCATGGTTTCCGCTGCTTCAAAGTCGAGGTCGGTGGACAAGGTCTTCAGATTCACCAAGGATAAGATAATGCTCGCTCCTGCTTCAGTGGAGATGTTGTACACTATTTTTAGGTTTGCTTGACCTTCCGAGACGAAAGCATTCTTCCTATTCTGTGCCTAGCAGACCACTCACTGTATCAACCAATAAGCGAGTTTATCAGTCGCATGATTGTTGTTGTATCAAATCAATAAACCCTGTTCCATAGTCGGGCGTGGTTGGAAGGAATATTTGAGGTGCCATGCTGCATCTGATCTCATGTATCATTGTTATCAAAGTTGAGTTCATTGGGTTGGGTCATTTTTCTTGTAATAAATAACTCTCTGCCTGCTCTTTTGTGTGTGTAAACATTTGCAGTTTTGGTATCATTGAGTGCCCACCAATTGTAATTACAGTGAGCTCTGATTGGAAGTGTAGGGTTGTGCTCATGTTTTGTAAATGTCTGTAGATAACATTTACAATTCGCATGGAAAAGGTTAGGGGGAGATCCGGCATGTCAATGCGATTCTACAACACCCAATGCTAGTACAGCTTTGTAATTTCATAGTACTAGTATTTAGCGTGTTTATGTAGTACAGTACTATTTATTTATGCGTTGGTTCGTTTTAGTGCTGATGAATATGATCTGTAGCTTCAGTTGAATAGTCCCTCCGTTCACAAATATAAGATGTTTTAGATATTTCAATACACTACATATAGACTGGAGTGAATGAACAAATACACTAAAACGTGGCTATTACATCCAATTCAGAAAAAAAAAAATCAGAGCATCTTATATTTGTGAACGGAGGGGGTACATCACCATTTCAGCTCTCTTTTTCCTCTACCGCCAGTTTAAAATATTTCGAGTGCGGCTAATCTGCACCCGGGCTCAGCTGCACCCACGCTTAGAAAAAAATTCAAAAAAAATACTAGAAAAATTCAAAAAATTCCAAATTTTTTCTTGGTGGTAGATAATTTGACGCGTGAGGTGCGTCCCAAAATTCAACTCATTTGAGCATCTGAGCAGCCCTCGGCAAAAAAGACAAAATCAGGATCTGTAAAAATGTTTACTGTTCACGCACTGTTTTGACACCGATTTGTCTTTTTTGCCGAGAGCTACTCAGATGTCCGAATAAGTTGAATTTTGGGGCGCACCTCACGCATCAAATTATCTACCAGCACAAAAAAAATTGGAATTTTTTGAATTTTTGTAGTATTTTTTTTTTTGAATTTTTTGCTGAGAGGGAGCAGATGAGCCCGGGCACCGTTTTGAGTTTTCGAAATATTTCGCCTTATTTTGTTTTTTCTCATGACACAACTAAAAATTACTTGCAAGGTAAGAAAACTTATCTGGAGATTGTTATTGTCTGACTGACATTTTTCCGTAATATACTACTCCCGCTGTAAACAAATACAGTATAAGACGTTTTGACAGTTTAACCAAAACATCTTACATTTGTTTACAGAGGGCATGGTACATAGGTACAGGCGCACAGGCTTCACAGTACGTTACTGATACCGATCGACCAAGCAACTACCGGGTATGTACCTTACAGTACACTAGGTACAATTAAGTGTTCACCTAAACTTTGAAATTTAGCATGAAAAAAGTCCCATCCCACGTTCTGTAAACATAAACAAAAACATAAAATGCATGACATTCAGACTATCAGGGTGATTTTCTTTTGTATTGGGTAAGACATTGCATCAATCCATCATCTATTTGTGAAACATTTTACAACATTCTTCGCATACATCAGGGGAAGGGGGGCTGTAAGATCAGTCACATGCTACTCAAATGCTTGCGCATGTCGAAAGGCAATAAAAGTAGCCATTCGGGTACCACACGGTCGTCGTATCAATCCTCACTACTACTTCAGAGAAAAAGTATCACCATATCCTCAGGTCGGCCGTGACCCTCAGGGATCAGGACAGCGAAACCTTCCGGAGGGTTTTCGACATGTAAGGTCAGAAGAATCTTATTGTTCGTTGGCCTGAAAGGAAACAGTTGCACGGCTTCAGTCACGGTTTACAGATTGACAGACAGTTTTCACCAACGTAAAGAGGGAAGAGATGCTTGTTGATAGGTAAACATCTCACCTTGTCTAAGATTCGCACATGCCATGAATCAATCCTGCGAGGTGAGTTAGGTTCGCCATAGTTTGGACCATGCTGGGGCTTGTTCCTTAGGAGAGGCAGCCTTGCAGGCACCGCATCATCGTCGCTGTCGTATTCGATTTCATTTTCGGGCCCAAGGGCCCTAAGTACCATTGCAAGAATGATTGATAGTGCCTGCGAATAATCAAATGTTATTGTTATTGTTGCTGTTACTAAGTTTGTTATGATAGTCTCTGAAAAGTACAGTGGCAGACTGGTTGTGAGCCAAACCAGTAGTGGAAGGTACAAATAAAACTATGGTACTCCCTCCGTTCCAAAATAGATGACCCAACTTTGTACTAAAATAGATGACCCAACTTTGTACTAAAGTTAGTATAAAGTTGAGTCATCTATTTTGAAACGGAGGGAGTACTATTTAGAAGTCTAATATGGTTATTTGGCCAAGCAGTCAGCATTTCCTTTTTCCCCTACATGTTGCCACCATACTTGTTATATCTACACAGCTGTTTGGTTAAAAGCACAAGAAGCAAGAGGTGGAAGACTTGAGCAGAGAATCGCTCACCTGAGCAGCCACCACCGAGAGGGCCACCCACTCACATATGTCAAAATTTGACCTCACGAAATGCTTGAATTCATCAAACTTCCCGGATGGGTCATCTGGGAAATCCTGCAGGTTTGGGGATTATCAGACCATCATCACAAATCAAATAGCTGATATATATATTAGAAATAGCAAGTACATATAGCAGTTGAAGTGCTTCTTACCTCCTCCCAGTAGCTATTCAGAAATACATCAGCGGCGATTGCAGCTTCCAGTATCACAAGCAAGAATACAAAGATCATGTGCTACATACATGTCAGGTTAAGGCAAAATAGTTCATGTCACCAGGGCACAGTACATCTAAGGTCATAAGAGCTCCAAGAACACAACTGGGACTTGGGAGATTTCAGCGAACTATTATTTAGGAGCCAACGGTTCCATTTCGAAACTTACCTGCTAGCAATTTCCTTCTTTTTTTGGAAATATCATTAATACTTTAAATGGAGATATCATTAATGGGAATAAAAGAAGAAATGTTTGGCCTCTATGCGACAACACAATAGGCTTTGAGGAATTTTGATAAACCAGCAGCAAGTGCCGCACAAGCCGCTTTCAAGGATACACAAGACAGGCAGGGGTTGTTTGCCGTTTCGGCGGCGATGTGACCCGAGCAAGTCAGCAAGCACATGATGATCCCCAGGCTGAGAAGAGTGTAGATAAACCTGCACAACAAGCGAATTCTTTTCAATCAAAACAGCCATTCCATATTCGTGGCATGGATTCCTAATTTGTCAAGCCCAACTAAATATACGCAAGCAAGACACCTGAAAATTCCTTGAATACTGGTGGCATGGATTCCTAATAAATTTGTCAGGCCCAACAGAAAAAACATGGTAGTAGCATAAACCATCCGGTGCACACCGCCGCGTCGAGGCGTCGACGTCGTAACAGCAAAGCAAAGGGGAAGATGCCGATCACTAGAGACGTGTCTAAGTTGGGGAAAGCGATTGTTGAGCACAAATCGCTGTTGTTTCTTTATCCTCCATGAGTGCTCCAGCATAGCCCACCAATCAACTGCCCACCAAATACATCCATCCATCCGTCCGTCCGTTGCATCACGTCGTGACGACACATCGCAGCCGCCACCTAAATTTGGAGGGGCGGCGCAATTCCACCGTAACCACCGAATGGCACTTGCAGCCATCCGTCCACTGCTTTTTGTTTTCGTCACTGCACACAAATTTGCTGCAATAGTGGCTGCTGAGTATCCCGCCCGTCAGCAATCACGAAAAAAGGGGGGCCGCTTTTGGGCTTGGTTCGGTTCCTACGCCACTTCCCGATCCCTCCCCTTCTCTCTCTCGTTGGTTCTAGCAAGGAACTGGTCCTGATCCTCTGTTGTTGCTACGCCGGTGAAACAGTGCAGCGGATACGCGCATTTCGCTGGGAATCCGGTCGGAGGTGGGTGCGGCGGGTGGTCGGGCGACGGATTTCGCCGCGAAATCGGTCGGAGGAATCGGGAGCGGCGGCAAGAATGGGGGGAATAAAACAGCAAATCCAGCGGTAAGCAGCTAGGCGAAAGCAGAGATTGCGACGCGAGTCGCCGCGCTACGCGAGATCTGCCTGTGGAGTTGAGGGGGAGGGGAGGGTACCAGGGGGCGGGGAGGTGGCCGGCGGCCTGCTGGGACCAGGCGCGGAGCACCCAGAGCGCGTAGAGGATGACGGCCATGCCGGCGAGCCCCACGACGGAGTTGGCCGCCTTG